CGAGCGCGCCGGCGCCGCGGCCGCAGACAAAGGCGCCTCTCGCGCCCGGGCGCCGCGCTCCGCGCTCTGCCTCGGTAAGTGGCTCCCCCTTCGCTGGCTTTCTCCTCCCGCCGCCTGCGCCTCTCAGAGTTCCGCGGGCTCCGGAGAAGATGGGGAGAAGGAAGAGACAAGACTTCCCCGCTCTCCCTGCACCCCGGCCTCGCCCTCACAGAAACACCGAACTAGCGAGTTTCCGAGCGGCGGGCTGCCTCCGCGGGACCCGCGGGCGGCCCTCTTCGCGCGCCTGGCTTGTGCCTGGGTCGCCAGTCTGGCCGAGAGGGCTGCCACTGGGTCTCGCCCTGGATGTATATTAGGGAGGGGGGCGCAGGGGTCGGGCGCAAGGAGGAGACCGCGTCCCTGGGGATGGTCCCAAGCGTTCGGGGTCGCCAAGGGGCGGTTCGCTCTGCGAATTCAAATTTCAGTCTGGGTTGGGGGGTCTGCCTCAGCCCTCTATTATGCTCCTCTTCAGCCTCTTCCAGCTCCCCTCCAGCTCCTCTTCCACCCCGTTCAAAGGTTAAGACAGCGCCCTCTCACTGCCACACCCGGCAAAGGCGCCCGCTCTCGGGGTCCTGGCCCTGGGACAGAGGGATCCCCGCCGATTTCCCCTGCTCGAGCCCCGAAACTGCTGGGGAGGGCGGGCGATGCGCACAGCGGCTGGGGGTGACATCATTACCCTGTCCCGGGCCGGCTCCTCCTGCCTCTGCCCGGGTTGTTCTCCATCAGAAAAGCAATACGGAGCCCAGCTAGCTTTTGCTTTTGTTCTGACCGCTACTCTCCGGAACCTGAGAAACCCGGGTGGGCGGATGCGCGGGAGGGGGCCATGGTGGGAGTTTCAGGTGCTGCCCGAAGTGACAACTGGAGGAGATGGTGGCTTCCTGGCCCTCGGTTGCAGATGGATTCCGATCGCTAATCAATACCCGGGGCCGGGGGCGGTTTGGCCACTTCCCGAATGAGCTCGGTGCCGCCTTCGCCCGCGCCACCCCCGCCGCCGCGCACTGTCACGCGCCTCTCCAGCACTCTCCGAGGCGCTTCCTTCGAGACGCGCATTTCCATTCATGGATCTGTGCCTGGGATTTGATTAATGTCACCTCTGCCGGGTTCTCTAAGGAGAGTGTCTGCTACTTTTTGATTTCATAGCCTTTTACTAAGGACCTACTGTGCGCAAGGCAGCGGTCCTAAGATCAGTTTAATTAAATTACTGACTACCTACTATGTGCAACCTGATGTGCCATGGCGTTCTCAGCTTAGTACTTATTGAGTTCTTACTATGCTCGAGGTAGCTGTGCTGTGACCTTATTGTAGTATTTACCTAACAGCTACTAAGTGCAAAGGGCTTGTCCTCCCTCTCCTCCTGTTCTTCCTCTTCTTCCTGTCTTTCCTCCTTCTCCTCCTTCTCCTTCCTTTTCCCCTTCCTCTTCTCTTTTTTTGCTCAGGGGTTGCCCAGTGTACTTTGGGGTGCATATAGGGATGAAGGGGGAGAGAATATGTTTTCTGACCCCTTAGTCTTCAACTTCTTGCGTAAACTGCATTTTAACCGTCTGGGCTACTTCTAAGGTGGCTGAGCTGGTCTTCTGCACTTGAGAGTAACTTCTATGCCTAAGGGTTTGTTAGACACCAGCATAGCAAAACAATGAAAAATTCTGCTCTAGAACGTCTTTCCAAGTCAGTTTCCTTAAATGATAATGATAATAATAATAGCATAAAACAGGTTCCTTTTTACAAAGCACTGTGCTAGTTATCAGAGGGAATGAACAAAGGTTAATAAGCCAAATCTCTAATGCTCACAGGGATAGGAACTGTGCGGTGAGGACAGAAGGACAGACAATGAACCTAAAAAAAGAATGAATCAGAAAAATAGGAGAGAGGGAAGGATGAAAATGGGGCCAGGTGGACTCGGCTCCTTGCTCCACATTGGCCCCGGTGGTTGAGGCTGAGAATGTCTTTAAAATCCCGTGGTTGCAAGTGGCTAGGGCATATCATATGGTCTGAGAGTCCTTCTGCTAGGAGTTCTGATGAATCCTTTACTCCGATTGTCCTGGGATCTCAAGGCACAGTAGAATAATCAGACTGGCAAGAAATCTACTGGCAAATATTTGAACACTTACAATGCTATATCGGCCGTTATGAGGGAAATATCGTCCAAGCCATAGGGTTTGTCCTAAAACTTCTAACAGAGTTCTTGATAAACTCATAAAATGAAGGCTTGGGTAGCATATATGAAAAGCCAGGAGCAATTCCTCCTAACGTTTAACATCAGAAAAACTTCTGACCTCAGAGAATTGTTGCTTTTCTTCTATCCGGCATTGAGAATGCTCTCTTTATGCCTTGTATGTTTATCTTCTTAAGTTGGCCTGCAGCAATCTCTGGTAAGAACTTTATCCTAGCTTCTCAGTACAGTGAACTTTTTCTTCCTAAATTACTTCTGATATCCTTTTAGAATTCTTGTAAAACTACATTATATTATTTTTGTTTGAAAGCACCCCCTCCCATATCTTTTCTGGAAATAGGCATTATGAAGGATGAAAAGTGTCTAGAAAATACAGTAAGCGCCACATGAATATACCTGAGATCATGTGTTTGCTCATGAGAGGTGGGGAGAAAAACCAAAGGAGAAAAACACAGGAGTTTACAGAGAAAACATAAGCTGGTCTTCCGAGATGAAACGGGATTCCAGTGGCAAAGAGCACTCACAACAGCTTCCATCCCAAACTGAGGGAGATGGCTTTAGCAAAGGTGTCAAGGAAAACCAGCCATCTTTACAGCCTTTAGACTCTGATAGATCTTCACCAGGAATGGCTTCCATGCATTGCACAAAGAAGGCTGCCGGAGCAGCTGACCGTGTTTCAAGGACTGTGCTAAGCGGCAGGTGGGGGCACCACCCAGGACAGTTTGAGGTCCCCTAGCAGTGAGTGAGGACCCTTGATTTCTTTTTCAGTGCTCCTAGTAGCCCCGCTTCCCTCCTATTCTTTTTTTTTTGGTACGAGAATTGAACTGAGGTCCTCGCGGTAGCCAGGCAGGTGTTCCCTCCATTCTTTCAAGCATTTCTGGAGTGTTTTCACCTGAGCTGCACTTGACTATAATACTCACGGTCCAGAATGTGACTTCTTTTTCTCTCTGCATCTGTCCCTCCGTGCAGGCTCTTACAGAAAGAGTCTGAGAGTCCTAATGCTTGCTTCTTCACCTTCTCCTGCTCTCCACAGGGCCCGCTGTCCTCTTGTCCTCTTCACCATTTTCAGCTGTTCTGAGCCTTTCACTATATAAAAACTAGTCTCGGAGGACAAACAGTCTGTCATCTGTCACTGTCTCTTGAATATGAATGTAGGTCACTGTTCTCTCTTCCAGGGGTCTTTGCTCGTTAAACCTCAGTATGACATGAAAGGCTGTGTCTGCCATGAGAGGAATCAAGCACAGAGGAGAGAGGAGGTAGCTAGGGGAGCCAGGTGCCTTTCCTGGTGGTTCTGAAATGTTTTTTTATGAAAAGGCCAAAGTGACTGAGTTGGACAGGTCCCGTGAGGGCCGAATGAAAGGCTCTGAGTAAGCTTCATTAGCTTCATGGTGAAGCTGTCTCTGAGAAAGGATGTGAGAAATGATTGGCCAGATGTATCTGCAAGAAAGGGGTCCTAGAAACTTTCTTCCACCAAAACACTGCCAGGCTCTCAGAGAAGCTTCTCAGAGTGTTGACTTAAATGGAGAACATGGATCAAAATGGAATTGTTACTGTACTTTTGTTAACCTCTGCCTCCAAAAGTAAGGACTTCGCTATCTTCAGCAACTCCAGGTCAGCATCAGCAGCATCTTTGAAGGATGGAAAGGGGACAAGGTTAGTTCAGGATCAGCATGTGGCTTTGAGTTCCACCAGGAGAGAGAAGCAGCTCGTTGGCACTTTGTCAGTGAGATTGGGCTGTGCCTAAGTTACTGCTTCACAAACTGAATGAACCTTATTATCAGATCACTTGAATGGTACTTGAAATTTCACTGATTCAGACTTCTCTTTTGGAATGTATAAACCTGGGATGAGACTTTACCTTGCATCAGAACAGGCCAGGCAGGAAATATTTGCCTTCCCTGTTTGAAGGGGCAAATTTAAAGGAACGCTATAATTCAGACTTTTTGTTAATTCATTCATTTGGTAAAATAATACTTTTCCTTAGTATAGATCAACTAGCTTCACAGAGAAATGTTTGAATTGTTGTTTTAGTTTATAAATGCACCTGGCTCTGTGTGAGGCCTATCTATCAATATATTAATGTCTAGATTAACAAAAATAAAAAGAACTTAAGTGAAAATTTGCTGTAGGCATTTTTAAAAAAATAGCCAGTCTTCTTTCTATATTTAAACTGATTCGATTTGTATAAAAATTTTCAAGAGTTAAGATCTGTTTGGGGATTTTCAAGTCAAATCTGCATACATTCACGAAGAGTAGACCTGGAAGAGACTTTAGGTGTCCTTGCCCAGGCCTCTTTGCCCGTTGTATAAATGGGAAAAGTAAAAATGGCTTCCCAAGGCTGCACAAAGCTTAGTGAGGAGACTGGGGCTCGGAACCAGAACTTTGCCCAAGCCCAGCCACTCAGTGCTGCCAACTGCACCCTTCTGTCTTGGTTGCCAGAGTTTGCAGGTGAAGGGGGACCAGGCAAGAAAAGAGCTTAACTTGCCGCCTTTGCTGGGCACCTGAGGCCTCTACCCACACCAGGCCGGTGAGACCCATGTGAAAGGCACGCGTACACGCAGGTAGTACTGAAAAGACCGCAGAAAAATGGGAACACGTTGGATTGATGAACTGAGGTAATTTTTTAAACTTTCTTTATAAACTTTTAAACTTATAAACTTGTGGGGTTTTTTTCCCCATCTTTACAGTAAATACATAGAATGAAAGCATTTATTTTCTTACTTAGAAAAGTAATACACAAGTAGCAAGAAGAATAAATAAATCTTACCTGTGATACGTAGAGCCCATTCAGATTTTGCTATGTTTATTTTTAGTGGTTTTCTCAGTTTATTTTAAAACACAGTTGAATAATTGAGACTCTATTGTACA